AGCTGCAAAAGTATTTACAGAAATGATTAGATAAGCAGCCTACCTCTAGTATGAAACTGTTTAATGACGTATTTAATAAAGCGGTGTTTTATTGAAAAAGTTACCATAAGTTGCAAAAATCTAGTAAGAATGAGTAACACTGACACTTTCAAGTGCCTCCCCACCCCAAATCTTTGTTCCTAAACCTCTGTCACTCTAAGCCATCCTCTCTCCCTACACATTTTCAGTCTTAATGCAAAAGCGCAGGCGTGCCTGAGCAGCCCCAGAGTCTTCAGAGGCAAAAGCAGAAATGCCAAAAATGTATGCAAAGGGTCCCAACAAGAAAAAAGAAAGAATCTGAAGGGAAAGAAAGGAAAAAAAAAAAAAAAGGGGGGGGGGAAATAAAAGCTACAGGTGTTCAGGGATTTGCTCAGTCATCCTTGTCTTTTGCTCCATGTTTAAGGATGCGTGTAAATTCAATGTAGTTGAAATTGCCCTTTTTGTCAATTGGTGCCTCTCTGTAGAGCTCATCTACCTCTTCATCTGTGAACCTGTCTCCCATCGTGGTCAGCAGCTCCCGCAGGTAGTCTTCTTGAATGAACCCTAGAATGCAATGTAAAGAGAAACACAAAATGGAAGTTGTCTCCAGCAGGTCTTCGAAAGCAGTGCGCTGAACATTAAAACAGCCCAATTCTTTTAATTGAATAATATTTTTTCTTGATGGACTTAGATAGATTCGTGCAGCCTTTATTAACTAGTTTCCCGTGGGGACCAAACAACCACTGGTTGGCTCTTCAGTGCCGCATGAGCATTATGGTCCTTTTCAACCCATGCCATTCTATGATGATGTCACTGGAGCTGACATGTGTGGATCAGCGTGCTGCAGGCAAGCGTCCAAGGAAGGAGTTTATAACAGAACAGACTTTAAGGCAGGATTGAGTAAATTAATCTAGGAAAGAGGAAGAATGTGTACCGTGGAGAGGCAGGAGCAGAAATAAGACCTCCCATGCCTTGTCAAAGCAGTAAAAGAAGAGAGATAGAGGAATATACCAAGAAAAAGTAAACTAGGCAGTACTGTTGGAAATCATTAGTAGACATCAACAAGGACTTATTTAGAATCAGTTGGGATGTGATAAAAATAAATTCTGCTTTGGAAACAGAGTCATAAAACTTAAGCAAACAAAGTTCTTTAGAGAGCAAACCAAATAGGGAGTCAAGGAATCAAAAGGCAGTCAGTGAGCATGATAAATTGCTATGAGGCTGGTCCGTGCCGTGGGGAAGCAGCACAGGAAAAAAACAACACAAACACATTACAACACATGTTAAATATGTTAAAACAGCATCATCCTAGCATAGGTAGACCAGCCCTTGATTAATGAATCCAAATGAAGAAGGCTAACAACAATGTTCTCCTTTAAAACCAGGAGGAGAATGTTCAATTAGTGGGTCAGATTTTGCAGTTGTCTCTTTGCAGGTGTGAGTAAAGAAAGGGGAAAAAGAACAAACAACAAAAAAGCTAAAGGCATTAAGTCTTTGTACTTCAACAGCACCACAGAGACCAAACAGTGATGAGAGATGACATAAGGATTAGTATACAAAGAATGCAAGGCCTTTGGTGCAGCAAGTTTAGCCTCAAGGACTTAATTGCTTTTGTCTGAGTAGGTTAGATGTTGAAACACCGCACTGGGTTACCAGAAGAGCATACACTAAAAGTTTTAGCAGCACAGAATCATAAAGTAAATAGTTGTCCCACTCCCCCTAAAACAAGCTCTCGCACAGTTTCAGTATAGACAGGGAGTAATCTAATTAGTGAAGCAAAATGCAAGATATAACGTTTGGCAGACAGCACAAAACAGATGACAGAGCAGGATCAAAGAGCAGAAAAAAAGTTCTACTAAATGAAGACAGATATAAGCCTTTATGCTAATTTCATGGTACTACTGTTTTATGGGACAGTAATGCTGAAGTAATATCAACAGCAACATTGAAAATATAGGAAAAGTAAATAAAACCAAGTCCAGCTCCTTTATCTTCACCAAGTGGGTCTGATTTGTATCCTTCTGCCTCAGAAGAACTGCACTGAAGTAGAATAGGAAATCAGGCACATAACACAGACACATGGAGATGATTAAAATTGAAAGAAGGAAAAATAAAAAGAAAATAAAAGCACAAGGGTTCAACATAGCTGGAAGAGCTAAACCTGAGGATAAAATGAATAAGGAGCAAAAATAAAAAGTAATGTAGAATGCATGTTATTTTGAAAACTGCATCTTGATTACTGTTAATAAATAGGACAGCATAGATATTTAACATGTTTCCCGGTGAAAGTGTGAGCATGGCATAAGGCAGAAAAAATACTGTGGAATCATTATCTTCACATTATCCTAGGACTAGACTAAGAGGTTCATCATTGAGTTTAAAGATGACAAAATTCAATCTTATCAGAAAATGGGGGCCTGACCTAATAACGTACTATCTATGTAGACACAGAAAGTAACTGTTCAAAAGAACTGGTAGCTCTGTCACTGTATATCCTAATTCACAGGCTCATGTTCTGGTGCACACAAAAAAAGCCTTGCAGCACAGTGAGTCAGACTACCTGTGGAGAGAAAATAACCGACTAAAAAGACTTCCTTCTCCAGGAGATGGTAAAGAGATTTCCCTTGAGAGGGAGGAAGTCAATTAACATTTGAAAAGCCTTTACCAACAGAAAGCCTGTTTACCTACATCCCAACAGGAAGGGAAAGCACTTTGAAAAGGCAAAAGGTGCTAAAAATACAAAGACAGAAAACAGGTGCTTGAAATGGACTAATATCCTTTGAAAGGTTCAGAGCGCACATCCACAAATTAGATGGCAGCACTGTGGTAGACCACTGTGAGAAAAGTAATAGGTGCAGTGCTATCTATAGTGCAGAGGCTATGTGATTTCTGTGTACACTGGTATGGCAGGTTCACAACGTGTCAAAGCCCTGATATTGCGTTTCCGTAGAATAACCTTAGGATTAATCTCTGCCTGCTACACAGTTCTCCAGAATGTTTTCCTGTATTAATAAATAAATAAAAGCATAAACTCTAACTTCATGATTACAGACACAACCTTGAAAGCTTGATACAGTAGAAGTGAACTCTGCATTTCATTCTTCCTCCTCCCTCATTATGCCAATCTATTCAATGCCATTTCTGTCTTCTAGACCCCACCCTGATTATATCTGTAAATCACTACAGTCCTTCCTGCCTCCTTGAAACAACTGAGCTGAATGTGAGGGCATGACATAGGCTATTTGTTATCATAGCCTAAGACACGGTAGGCAAGATGAAGAGTCAGAAGAAAAGGTTTGCATACTCTGGATCACCTATCTTCAAATATTGAATACATCACATATTCATATATATCTCAAGCCTACCACAGGGGAAGGACAAACTCAGTGGCATTATAGGTTTCACATCTACTCCTTTTAAATGCCACAGAAACGTCCCATACGATCAATACAAATACCCCAAAGCAGTTGAGTTTCGCCCACATACCTGTTGCTTCTTCGTCAAAGCAAGCAAAAGCATTCCTGATGACATCTTCTGGATCAGTGCCGTTGAGCTTCTCACCAAACATTGTGAGGAACATTGTGAAGTTGATGGGGCCTGGAGCCTCGTTCATCATGGCATCCAGGTATTCATCTGTTGGGTTCTTTCCTACAAATAAAAGGATTGCTGCTTTAGCTTTTAAACTAAAATAAAAGAATGGATAAAAGTCACCTGAATATTGTGATACAAAGTGGGACACCTCTCATAAGCCATCCCAAACTCAGCGTTTTAATCACAATAGCACAAATACGTTTGGCAGCTGTAAACAGAAGAGAGACATTACCGAGGGAGGCAAGCATGTCGTGCAGGTCCTCCTTGTCAATGAAGCCATCCCTGTTCTGATCAATCATGTTGAAGGCTTCCTTGAATTCCTGAATCTGGGACTGATCAAACATGGCAAATACATTGGAGGTGGCGCGCTGAGGGCGCTTCTTGGTGGTCTTCGTCTTTGCTTTTTTGCTAGACATGTTGATTTTGGGATACTGAGAGAAAAGTAAATAGAATAAGGCCAGAGTTAGGACTTGAGAAGAACGTATTAAGTTTTAGGCTTTCAGAGTCAGAAAGCACCTCTACCGCCCTTCTGCTTCCTCTCATCAGAACATATTTCCTTAATGAAGAAGGGCAAAAGAGAAGCAGGAAATAGGACGGGACAGACCAAAACAAAGAAAAAAGTCATCAACATATAAAGTTGCACGTACCTTTCACTCTGAGAAGGCACAGCTTTTGTCTGGATTCCCTCCTTAGATCTGTCTACAAGAACGGAACTCCGGTCTCAACCCTAAGCGAGAAAAGTGAGGTTCAGAAAGCTGTTGCTGAGCTCACGAAATAACTCTATGGATATGTGTAATATTCGAGAGCAGTGGAAAGAGAACTCGAGCTCGGTTCACCTGAGCAAAGTCTGAAGTGCCAACGCGTGGCACCTGACAGCAGCAAGGATTACTGTTCTATATAACAGCGGGTCTTTGCCTTGCCTTCTATTATTTAAAAAAAAAAAAAGCAAACTACCCCCCCATTTTGCGACGTTAGAGAAACGGTGCAGGCTGTTCTGCAGACAGCAGCAGTTGCGACGCTTCCGCCGCCTCACACCGCGGCTGCCCCAGCGGCCGCCCCCGATCCCCAGCCTCACCTCAGCGGCTGCCGCGGAGCCTCGGTGCGACGGCAAGTGGAGGAAGCGGCAGCAGCTCAGGCGCTTCCTGGAGAAACCACCGCCCTCCCGGCGGTGGGTGGAAGAGGGCGGCGGGCCGGGACCGGGGCCGGGCGGCCAGGGGAGGGGCTGAGGGGCCGCCAGGGGAGAGCGCGGAGCAGCAGGGTTGCCGGAGCGATCGCAGACACTGGGACGGCCGCCTCGGGGCGGCTCTGCAGCCTCCCGTTCCCCCCCGGGAGCGGCGCGGTGGTGCAGCCGGGGCGGGGCGCCGCCGTTCCAGGGTGGGGGCGGCCGGGGCAGGAGGTGGCTGTGGGGGTGCGTTGTGCCTGCGTGCTGGTGTGCCGGCTCACCCTGAGGGCTTCAAAATTCACCTCTAGTACCTGAGTCAGCTGCTTCTCTGGTTCAGGTGCTCCTTTGGTTTTTAAACCTTCCTAAGCAGGGTGCTTAGGCGCATTCTGCGGGGTTGAGGTCCTTGCAGTCGCTTGGACTCCGTGATATCGTTGTTTAAAGACATAAAAAACTGAAATGTTGTCAGTTTGGAGAGCTGTGCTGTCAGCTTGCCTCTCCTTTATCCCTTTTCCTACTGCTGTCAGCTTCACCGGTATACAGCCAGTGCCTGAGTAAAATGGTAAGTAAAAATGAAAAGGGGGAAAAAAAATAAGATGAACAGGTTTCTCTGCAGTTTCCAATTGCACCTAATGTTGATGGGTTAAGTTTGGGCACTGTACATGTTGAAGTTAATACCTAAACGGGGCTATGAGAAAGAAGGTGACGTGCTCTTTGCCAGGGTCTGTTGTGAGAGGACGAGGGGGAATGGTTTCCAACTAAAACAGGAGATTTAGATTGGATATAAGAAAGAAGTTTTTAACAATAAGGTTGGTGAGGCACTGGAACAGGTTGCCCAGAGAGGTGGTGGATGCCCCATCCCTGGAAGCGTTCAAGGTCAGGCTGGAGGGGCTCTGAGCAATCTGATGCAGCTGTAGGTGTCCCTGTTCACTGCAGGGCATTTGGACTGGGTGGCCTTAAAGGATCCCTTCCAACTCTAACAATTCTGTGATTCTGTAATGCGTCCTCTGGAAGCTATGGTTCCAGATTTGGAGGCAGAGACATTAATTGCTGGAAGGCCCAAATTTTTACTCCTTCTCAGAAGAGCTAAGGTCATGAGGTCTGAGAAGTTGCCTAGTTAATTACTAAGACTACTTCCCTGGCGAATTCTAACATCCCTTTTCCAAAACTAGCATGAAGATGCAGTGGTACTCAACTTTGTTGAATCAAGAACACGATTGTGGAAAAAATGCCCTTTGCTCACCAGGTATGGCTCATAGTTTCACAGTAATTATATGCAAAGTGCAAGTGGGCAGAAAAGAGGTAAGAGACACTAAGACAATACCAGAGTTATTAAAGTAATCCGGGACAATCCTGAACAACTGAACTGTGTGTTGAAATTTGATTATGAAGGTAGTTATTTCAGATCTTAATCTAAAATCCTGCCATCGGTTAAGTTGAACCAGTTGCAAATGTACTGCTCTGTACTGGATTTGTTCAAACACTCCTTGAACTCCGGCACTCAGGGCCCTGTGCAACCCGTTCCATGCCCACCATGCAGCACCTGTCCCCAACCCCAGCTGCCCTCCCCTCACACAGCTCCATGCCGCTCCCTCGGGCCCTGTCGTTGTCACACAGAGCAGAGCTCAGCGCTGCCCCTCCGCTTCCTGCGAGGAGCTGCAGCAGCCATCAGGCCTCCCCTCGAGTTAGAGGTAGCAGGGCTGGTGATGGGAGGATGGCGGTGTAGCCGAGCGCGGCCCCGAGAAGCAGCGCCACCTCGTGACCAGCTTTGCTTTCAAACCGCGTGTCTGTGGGCTGCAGAGAAAGCGCAAACGCTGCCTCCTCCAAAAAAGTATGCCAGCAGCTTGTTTGGTTCTCAGTACCGCATATTTTCCCGGAGAAGCATGTAGAAGAAGAATTAATTAACCCTTTCTTAAAACTTTTTTTTGATGCTCCTTCAATTTTCTTCTAACTCTTCTGCTTAATGAATCGGTCAGGATTATTTGGTGCTGCTTCTTAAATCTACTGAATATTACAGGAACAGCTGTGCTGGCTCACTGTAGAAGCTCCAGTCTCCCCCAGAACCAGAAAATCGTAGAATCATTAAGATTGGAAGAGACTTCTAAGATCATCTAGTCCAACCATCAGCCCATCACCACCATGCCCACTAACCACGTCCCTCAGTGCACTATCTTTGAAGGGCTGCAGGGTCTGGCTGTGGATAGCAGGGAGTAGTTTTGGACATCCTTTGGCTGTGTGTGTTCTACAGCGGAGTTGGTCTCTTCTCACTGGTGACAGGTGACAGGATGAGGGGAAATGGCCTCAAGTTTAGGTTGGATATCAGGAAACACTTCTTTACAGAAAGGGTTGTTAAGCACTGGAATAGGCTCCCCAGGGTGGTGGTTGAGTCACCATCCCTGGATGTGTTTAAAAACCATCTAGTTGTGGTGCTCAGGGACATGATTTAGTGGAGGTTGTTAGAGTTAGGATAGTATGGTTAGATTGTAGTTGGATTCGATGATCTTTAAGATCTTTTCCAACCTGAGCAGTTCTTTGATTCTACCTGCTCCACGGAGGCAGTTGCATCGAGTTAGTGGGAGCCATGGAGCCTGTCCACTTGTTTACAGTAATGGTGATAAACATGCCTGTTGCAAGGATAGAAGGAAATGTGAGACCTGCAGTTGGCCATACATAACAGCAGAGCAAGCTTGTTAGGACTGCTCAGGCTGGAGTTCTGTTTGATATTCAGACTTTGCTGCCTCCTAAGAGGGTGAAAACCATGAAGCTGAAATTAAAAGAGGTTATCTAAGTCTCAACCTGATTTTTTTGGCAAGTCAAAATTGTCCCTCAAAGAGGGGAGGGGACAGCCTTGCAGCTTGTGTTCTTCTGCTTCTTCCTATATTAAAGGGGAACACCACTGGGATGTATTTACTGCTTCCTTGAATGCCTTCAATAAACAATAGACATTTGTGAGGTCTCCCCACTAGGTCTCTTGGAAGGACTTTTGTCTTTTTATTGTTGTTGTTGTTGCTTTTTCTTTTATTTTCTGTTCTTACCATCACCCCATGCCTCTTTTTTTTTTTTTTCCTCCTCTGAAAATTGGAATTATCAGTTCATTTGTTCATTTTGTTTCTGTTTTTAAAATTCCTTTCTCTATACTCTCCTCTCTGGAGGGGAGAGAGCAGGGGATGTTTTTAGCCTGTGTTCAGGGGAGGGCCAGAACCGATGCTCATATGCGGATATTTAGTGAAGAACTGAGGAAGTATATGATATCCTCCCTGAACCCTTTCCCAAGCTCTTCTATTTTTGGTTCATGGGGAGGTAAGATACCCTGAGCCAGATGTGCTCTTTAGTAGCCCTTGATGATCTATGTAATGAGCCTGCCTAGTATGTAATCCTTGAATTGATATAAATTTAGCATCCACAATATCCTTTATGAGCGTTTTGGGATTCTGTTGCAAAGTTACACCTTTTTACGTGAAATGAAAAGAATAAACACAAACTTTGATCTAAGGTCAAAAGAGTCATTTAACAAATGCATTTTGACTAAGTTCCTTCGCCTGGTATTTTGGCTCATTCCTCTCCCTTTCTATCCTTTCCCTGATTCCAGCTGGTCTCTGTTCTCTATGTAAAGCTGTCCTAAGTGCAGTGTTGTATCGGTCAGAGTGATGGTAATTCTTCTCTTGGCAGTCAGTGTGTCCCAGAATTGTTCTGAAATATCTCCAAAAATAGATCCTGTCCTGTGATCTAAAGGGAAAACATTTGAGACGTTTTAAATGAAGGAAGGGAGTCTGAATACATGACTTTCCTTGGATCTCTCAGGGAGCTTCACAGCAAGGCTTCTAGCCAATTTCTAGATATGTATTCCCTTTTTTGAGAAACCTCACGAATAAAAATAATGCTCGACTGCTTTCCCAGGTGTTCCCTGCATCAGTACAGATTCTGCTGCAGGAAAAATAAAGGCTCTCAGAGAATGTGCTGTAGCCTGTAGGAAAAAAAAAATATATTTGTATTATTTCTTCATAACGTGAATGAGAAATAGCTCTGTTTTGATTTTCTGGTAATTTTCAGTGAACCCAACTTAGGAGAAGGTGAGAATGGAAAGTCTGGAGAGCATCATATGACAGTGTAGCACCAAGGCGAAGGACAAAGCAGAGAAATGTAATAGAACATATATAAAATGCAGTCAATCTTTGTTAAGAGTTGTAAAACAGGAGAGAAAAAATTAAGACTGTGGTTTGATCACTGTATGAGTGAGGACTGAAGTGTAGCTGATAGAATGTGGGGGGAATGAACTCAGCAGAACTGAATGCGTTGCCAGTTTTACATTCACAAGTTCAAAGTCCTTTATATGTATAGGCAATAGGAAAAAAAAAAAAAAAAAGTTGAAAGTACAATGTGGGCTGTGATGCCTGTATATGATTGTCCCTTCTTACCTGTTCTCTATGATAAAGAATTCTCTGTATTGCTTTTTCTTCTGTATGTCCCTTGTTTTTTATCCCAGCTGGCAAGATGCAATAATTAAGCCATATTCTTGTGCTCTTTCTATGCTTTTTTGCACTTGTTATCAATAGAAGTATTGCCAGGCACCACGATTCCACAGTGTTTGTACATGAAATGCAAAAATAAACAAGTGTTGTTAAGGTATTAGTGTGAAGAGATTGACAACTCCAGTCTTTCAGACACGTGTAATGGCTTCTGCTAAACCAAAGCACATGCCTGTGTGGCTTCTCATGTTAAATCAGCGCGTGTCTATTTGACGAACTGCATGTACAAATAAGGAAGAAAATGAAATTTGTTCGATGCTTGGCCAAAGTCCTAGAATGGTATTTTAAAGCACCCAGAAAACAAGAAGGAGCACATTTAGTTGGCTGTTTGCCTTAAAAAGTAAATTGTTATCAAGTGTTCTTATTAGCTGATGCTTATAAAGCTTTGTTGGCTGGTGTTCCAATTTCAGAGTTAACATGCTTCTTGTGGGCTGATGATGTGTTGACAGTGTAAGACCTGTTGCTTTAGAGATGATTAGCTCATGACTAAGGAGAAGGAATTTCACAGAGGGAAAAAACAAATATACCTGTTAGATACAATGCAAAGTCAAGGCTTAAGTTACTCTTGTCTGATGCCAGCTCTGTTTTAGCAAATACTAAGACCAGGCTTGCCGTCCTCGTTCTACACCCACTCACTTGCCAACTTTAGACAAAGGCTGTAACTTACTGTAATTCCCAAAGAAAAATCTGCAACTTTCACAAGTCAAAAAAACACCAGCAAAAAAACCCAAACCAAAACAACAAAAGGAGTAGTTCAATATTTTGTGAGGTTGCACACACTGATATCTTAAAATAGTGAAAACAAGGAACTTACAAATAAAGATTAAATAAGTTTTGCAAAGGTGAGCAGAGATGCTGACCAGAATGCTGAAAGGAATGCTGCAGCCACAAACTGTCTGTCTCCTGAGGCGTCCATATTCAAGTTAGACTTCACTTGCTTCATCCTGTAGTATTTGTAACTGCACTTCAGGCTTGATCCAAAGACACCACTGACTTACAAAGGAAACGAATCACCACCATATGGTAAAGGAGACTGTTGGGATTTTCCAGGAGGCGTTTTGATTTCCTATCCTGCTGTTAATCACATGCTTCAAAGAAACACTTGAACATCTGCTAGAGCTGCTAGGATATGAGTATCCTGAGTTGGAAGGGACCACAAGGACCATGGACTTTAACTTCTGGTTCACAAAGCAGCAGTCAGAATTCAAACCTTATGTCTGAGCCCTGGGTAGCCACTGCCCTCTGGTGCAGACCCTTTCCCTAACCCCCAGCAGCCCTCCCCTCACACAGCTCCATGCCATTCCCTCGGGCCCTGTCGCTCTCAAACAGCAAAGCTGAGCGCTGCCCCTCCGCATGAGGAGCTGCAGCCACCATCAGGCTTCCCCTCAGCTCCTCTGCTCTGCGCTGAGCAAACACAGGGATTGCAGCCTCTCCACATAGACGTTTCCTTTCTAGACCCTTTTTGTAGCCCTCCTTTGGACGCTTTCTAACAGTTTCATATCCTTCTCATGCTGTGGCACCCAGAGCTGCACACGTGCTTGAGGTGGGCCCACGGCGTGCAGAGCACAGCAGGACAATCCTTTCCGTCGCCCAGCTGGCAGTGCTGGGTGGGATGCACCTGTTTCAGCCCTTTTGGCTTCTGAGTCACACTGCTGACTTTTGTTCAACTTCTTATCAACCAGAATCCCCAGATCCCTTCCTGCCGGGTTGCTCTCCAGTCTCTCATCCCCCAATTTGTATATATATATATATATATCCAGGATTGCCCCATCCATCCCATGTACAGAATCCAGCACTTGCTCTTGTTGAACTTCATGTAATTGGCAATTGCCCAGCCCTCCCATTTTCAAGATCTCCCTGCCTCTGTCAAGGCCTCTCCAGGCTCAAGGGGTCAACAGCTGTTAATGTAGCATTATCTGCCAACTTAGTGTGCATTCAAATTCTGCATCCGGATCATTGATGAAAACACTAAAGAGAAATGGCTCTAGAATTTACAGTAGTAATTATTTTTTACAAGATTTAGCACAGGGATTCCCAAAGGATGTGCTGCCCCAGCAGGCTGTGTGCTTTGTCTGCCCTCAGCAACTGATCTTGCTCCTAGCAGAGCTAAGCAGTCCCAGGGAACTGGGAACTCATACAGCCTACAAACTAGAGGAGAAAACTGGAAGATAGCCATGTGCTGCTACTTCTAGTCCACACAACAAGTTTTCTAATCTAATCTAATATCAAAAGGAACGTCAGGAAAACAGTGATTTCTATTTGAGTCAATTTACTGGTTTCTCTTTGCCTCTGCACTGGCGCCTGTAATCCTGTTCCTAAGTTCACGCTGTTTGCTACCATCGTGCTGAATCATTTCTCTCAAGTAGGAGGATATCCAAAAATGACAGTGGAGTTTGAAAAATTAAGTGAGCACACCAAAATAGGAGCTTGGGCACACAAGCTGTAGCAATGGCAGATTAACTGCTGCTATCTAAAATGTCCTTGCCTCTGCTTTCATTGTTACTCACACGTTATTTGGACTTAGACTGTCTTAATGCCTTCAGTGTAGTAAGAGCTACTCATTGCCTTTTGAAACACCGCAGGAATGTATCAGATAATACTTCAGTAACATTACTAACAAGAAAAGGCTGTTGACATGAGAAACATTTTACAAGATTTCAAGTATTTTCCAGCTTTCAGAACAAATGTAATGGGTAGGATACTAAAGCATAGTGTCACTAAAGGCCTGTTCCAGGACGGGGCCCATTTCATTCTTTAACATACACCAGTGATCCTAGAAACGAGAATGCTATCTAAAGATAGTTCTTAGATCAGTAATGAAACAGATCCTTACCTCCCTGTGTAAGTATACTACCTCTGTGACATCAGTCTGTTGCTAAGCTAGTCTTTTCAGCTGACTTCGTTTTGGGAATGCTTGCTATGTGATGACTGTGCTAATACATACCTTACTTAGAAGTATAATAAAAGAACAGAAACAAGCATATCCTGAGCGGTCAAAATGCTGCATATTACAAGTATCTCAGCAACAGAGAGGAAGAAAAGCAAGCACAGGCAGCTCCAACACACAGAGTTCTTTTTGGCTTTTTCTCATGCAGCTATCAGTCCTTAACTTCCGTTTGACCCTTGTGGATATAGCCTTAGAGCAGTATAAACAGACCACGTAAGAAATCACTGCTTTTCAGTAGTGCTTCACAGGGTACCATATATTAGATTTGAGACTATTAATTCTGTGCATCAGCTTAAGAAAATAATTTTTCATCATCAGCTTAGTCTGGCATAGAGGTTGGAAACACATTATATATGAGCCACAATGGAGAAATGACTGGATTCCAAGATTTTGACTGCAAAATGTTAAGTTTAAGTCATCAGAGTCTTAAGCTACTTCAACGACCAAAGTTATTTTTATTTTTGGAAGCGGATTATTGATGACACATCCCTCCAGCCCTAGGCATGCAACCTCAGCTGTCTCAACATTCCTTGCTGCCTAACTACAAAATGCATCTGATGCTCTTATATGGTCTCTTGGCTGGATTTATTCATGGCCTCCCAGTGGTTAAGAATTTTGCACCCAGTTGCAAGTTGACTGGTCTCCTATAGTACAACAAGAATTGTAGGGAAATGTGGCTGTGGATGGTCAGCAGTAGCTGTACTTGAAAATGCTTGGAAATTCTCCCTCAATAACACGTCTTCCTAAGCAAGTATTCTCACAATACATTTTCCTGTGGCCACCCCCATCAGAGAAACTGGCCAACAGCACAACACCCACACACTGCAACAAGGAACTAAACAGCTATGCTCTCCTGTTAGCCTGGCTCTTGAGAAATTAACAGCAGCAGACTTAAGGTTAACAACTTCCTCTCAAGGAGGATACAAGGTTCCCTTTTACATAGATTTTATTTAGAATTGTAAAATCACTATTTCAAAACTTATTTCCAGCAGAAAAATTCAAGTGGTTTGTTTGCTGCTTACTGAGCCCAGCATACCAACACCTAAAATTTACTAAGATGATGAGATGAGGAAAATAATGGCTCAGAGACTTGCTGTTTCTAATAGAAGAGAAAACATCTTCCAAATCTTAAACCATTTGGCCAGAATTAAAAACAAACAAACAAACAACAACAAACGCCAACAAAATGAAGGTATATCCTTAATGCAAGCTTCTGTACATACACATAATATTGAATGACAAGATTGGACCAAAGTGACAGCCTAACTGCTCCTCAGTTTAATATTATATAGCAACATTTCAACAATACAATGTTTCCTTCATCTCAACACTTCCTCTGTGACAGGAGCACTGCGGGTGAAAATTTTGACACAAAACTGCCTCTGAATAAAAGAAAACTGAAAATAAGTCAGTTTTGGTAGACTCATTCAGGCATTCCACGGAGAAACACCATAGCAACCATACTCAAGAGGAAGGAAATAGTATAAAGACAATCTTTTGAGGAAAAGAGCAGCTGTGGCACTCTAAGGTAGTATAGTGAAGCACATGGTCTGGGTAGGAGGAAGAAACAAACTGAGGCAAAGTGACAGGTAGATAAAATGGAAATAGGAAAGCAGTAGTTACAAACCAATTATAATTAAGCACAGAAGCGGAAGAAACCACCCAGGAATGAACATCAAAGTATTTTCACTGAACGTACTTTGTAATACTGACTTATTTAGTTAGGAATACTAACAGAGCCAGAGCATTTTCAAGAACTGCCACCATCCCAATGCAAACCAGAGCAGAAGGCAAGCCTTCCATACCACAAGGGAAACTGGACAAACATTTGCACTCTGGGGCATTTCATGCTGGCCCAGCCTTTACAAGCCCCTAAGCTAAAGTTCCTATTCTTTTGGGTCACTTAAATAATGTGAAACAGTTCAGGGAATAGTTTCTTTGATAAGAGATCTTAACTTCAATTGGTAAATATGTTGGCAAGATAAATTCCCCTTCCACCTTTTAGCTTGAAGTTGCCAGGAAAAAAAGAGACAAATGAAAGGATGTGGTCATCTGGAGACCTGAGAGAATGAACTCTGTTTTCTTGGTATTGAAGTCAGCTGTTTCTGTTTGAATGAATCTTGCTTGCCTGAAAGCCATTTTATCAGTATCAGGGTAAATGAAGAAAATTTATGATCATTTAAGAAGTGAAAGGGCTTTATCTTGGATATGGTTTTGCCAAGTTAATTCTCAGCACTGTCATTCTCAAAGGCATTAATGTGCGGAACAATAAGGCTTTACGTAGGTTTTCTGGACAAGCACTGCTGTTTACTACTGCCAGCACAGGCACTGCCTCATTGATTTCCTAGGAATCCTAAGGAATAGGATCCTAGGAATCCCAAGTGCTCTCTGCTGGCAATTGTAATAGTCTTCCCTAAACACATCTTTGATTAACTACTCACATCAGTCAGATCCACTATGAAAACCTGAGATAACATTTAAACAGCTGAATTTTCAAATATCAGCATATATACTGCTGCACACATCTCATAACTATGCAACGACAGCAAAGCTGTCAGGTTTTCCAGCTCGATTTGCAACTGCAAATAAAATATGATTAACACACTTGCATTTGTAAATGCATAACAGAAATTTCTCTCTTGACAAAAGAATGAGGTGGGGTTTTTTTTTGTTGTTTTTTAATCTATATAGCAATCTTTATTTCAAAATGGCATTTATTACAAAAAATGTAAAAATCCAGCTAAACCAGAAACATTGAGATTATTTTCCTGGACTTAAAAGTTCACTGATCTTTGCCCCTATCTCCTTCTCCTTACAATATTTTCCCCACTTCCAGTCTGATTATATAGGTGCAGTTGAACCTAAATGGCCTGGAATAGATAAATACATTAAGAAAGGCAAAAGTTGTAAAGCTAAATGCATGCAACAAGTTCTACCAGGAAAACCCCCTCAAAAATAAACGTAAGTATAGAGAGAATCTGCAGATGTCCAGGGATTTGCTCAGTCATCCTTGTCTTTTGCTCCATGTTTAAGGATGCGTGTAAATTCAATGTAGTTGAAATTGCCCTTTTTGTCAATTGGTGCCTCTCTGTAGAGCTCATCTACCTCTTCATCTGTGAACCTGTCTCCCATCGTGGTCAGCAGCTCCCGCAGGTAGTCTTCTTGAATGAACCCTAGAATGTGATGTAAGGGGGAACAAGAAAGAATGTTTTGACATTTATCTCCTAAGAGTTGGATGACAATGTTTGAAACATTTCAAATTGATCTTTAAACACTGGACACCAAACTCACGTTCACCAGACAGGTTACAAAGAAAACAACTTTGGCGCTGTTTATTAAACAAGCAGCTTCATATAAGCTGAGATTCCATTATTTTATCAACACTCCATTTACCAGCTTTCTCTTGAATTAATTTTGTTCTCCATTAAGTGCAAGAGAACAGGGAGAATATGGATACATGTTATTAACAGAGAACACAGTTTTCATAAAAGCATCCCAGCTTTGAAAACAAGGATATCCCCTAACAAAAGCTGCTGCTAAACTGAAGTTAGAAGTTCAGAAATTAAGACCACGGTTCCCAACTATCATTTTCTTCGTCTTGAACAACAAATCTGAAGAAGCAGAAGTTTGGGATTTGAAGTGTTACAGTGCTTAAGAAGGCAATTTCAGCTGCTGAGGAAACACAGCTTAATTTTTAGCTGGCAGAAGTCAGAAATTCCATTGTAAAAATTGATCACTGCTTTTATGAACACAAGTATTTGTCACTAATTATCACCCACATACCTGTTGCTTCTTCGTCAAAGCAAGCAAAAGCATTCCTGATGACATCTTCTGGATCAGTGCCGTTGAGCTTCTCACCAAACATTGTGAGGAACATTGTGAAGTTGATGGGGCCTGGAGCCTCGTTCATCATGGCATCCAGGTATTCATCTGTTGGGTTCTTTCCTACAAATAAAAGGATTGCTGCTTTAGCTTTTAAACTAAAATAAAAGAATGGATAAAAGTCACCTGAATATTGTGATACAAAGTGGGACACCTCTCATAAGCCATCCCAAACTCAGCGTTTTAATCACAATAGCACAAATACGTTTGGCAGCTGTAAACAGAAGAGAGACATTACCGAGGGAGGCAAGCATGTCGTGCAGGTCCTCCTTGTCAATGAAGCCATCCCTGTTCTGATCAATCATGTTGAAGGCTTCCTTGAATTCCTGAATCTGGGACTGATCAAACATGGCAAATACATTGGAGGTGGCGCGCTGAGGGCGCTTCTTGGTGGTCTTCGTCTTTGCCCTTTTGCTGGACATGTTGGCTGTTGGCTCTAGGGAGAAAACACAACCAAAATTTGGACTTAATAAATCACACTAAAAGATCTTAGGGAGAAAGATGAATAAAGGGAAATTGAAACCCACACTGTAGTGAAATAACAAGAAATGCAACTGTCTCCTGCTATATTTCAGGACTTGGAGAGATAATACTTCAAATCAACAGCATGGTACATTTTAAATAAAGCAAGTCGTAGTTATTGAAACCAAGCTCACCTAGTGCTTCTATTTCTGGTTCACTACCCCATCTGCCTCTTATACAAATTAAGATGACCTATTTAGCAGGTTAGGAGGTATCACTGACCTACAACAAAGAAGGACATAGGGGTCTGCTACCCTCAACATAGTATTTAGCAGTTAAATATATCAAGCAAGCAAGATAAACTAACATTTAGGAGGCAAAAATGTATTCTAATAAAATATTACTCAGACTCTAAAATAACTGCTGTGGAAGGAGCAGTAAGGTCTCACGATGCTGAATGACCCTGATGAAAGAGCAATGTTTTTGGGAAGGCTGTTGACCAACACTGGGGTCAGGGTGCTGAAACAAAGATCAGCCAAGCCAGTTCTACTGGAGTTCTTTCCAAATGAGCTAGAGGATCATGTTGGAAAAAGGATACTGACTTGGTTCAAAAGCCCTGCATTGCTAATCCCTTATTCAGTTCAACTATTACAGAATACGTATGCAAATGCCAGGATACTTTCTTCTTTTTGAAATTAATGACTTAATAGTTCAAGTTCAAAGATTGTTTCTTCTAAGGTATCAACATCTAGGAACATTTCAGTATTTGCACAGATCTTTAAGCAGCTCTATCTACCACAAATATATGAATGTCACTGTCTCCCTTGAGCTGTCAAATGAAGAAGTAGTATCTTGCCTCTGAGTGCATTCATATCATCTGGATAGAAATGAGGCTTTCAGGCTAACTGCCTCTATTTAGGTGGAAAAATACACATCTAGCAGCCAGCTATTACTGATAATACAAATATGAAAAAGTGACTCAAACAATGAGAAGTGAACACAAAGACCTCAGTATTGCTAGGGACCAGAATATGGTAAGCTTGGTTTACTACTGTTTCTGGAAGTACAGCACACATCTAGGCCTTAGTTTAGGCATAATAAAAGACCATGTGTTTATTTAATGCAAATAATCCACACAGCTAAGTTTTACCTTAACCAGACACCACCCCTCCTTGATTTTGGATTTTACATAAAGTACTTGCAACAGCTGTCCTGAGAGAGAAGGAATTTAAGCATCACTTCCAGTAAATTTCAGAGTGTTGGCATTCTTGTGACAATGTACCACGAAGTATTGATTTTATAACTTCCTTTTCAAAATTATCTTGTTGGAAATGCAGTTCTAATTAGAGTCACAGTGTAGTTCTAATGGCTTCGAGGAGTTTGCTCGCAAGTTACTACATTTTCCTGCTAGACTCCTGAAAAGCAAGCCTGAACTCACTAAACTGACTTCATCCGTAAGAAGTACAATAAGCAGAGCAGCACTCTTATGTGGTCAATCAATCTAACACATAGACACAATGCAGTTACCTTTGGATTTTGCTTTGTTTTTAAAAGAAAGCCATTTTACCTTGCTTCCTGTCAGGTACGTGGCATGCAGTACCAGCTGTCTGGATCAGAAAAGGATATTCCATAGTTATGTCCTTCCCCACACGACTACAATGAGCGTTACTGACCTCCTCTGCTACTTCCACCCTTTTAAACCTTGATACAAAAAACGTCCTTCTGACGTATAAAACAAACCATTATGTCCCAAACCAAAAATAGCTGATGAAATGCAACTGTGCATCAGTCGGCAGCACTGAGGTTGTCTGCATTACACTCGCTGACCGCAAGCTATCTGAAACGCCTGGCCTCCAGCAACGTTTCAGCAAATAAATATGAACTCCTGACATCTAGATACCAGTGAAGGCAGCTGACAATAAAGGGAGTTCACTTTCAAGCTGTAATGAAGAGCTGTGTGCAGCTTCAGTCTTTTAAAAACACCTATAGTTACTGCTAAGCTCTGAACAACCAATAAGTTCCACTGTGCAAAGCAACATTCACCCGTGACTGTTTTCTGAAAATAAAGAGTGGGCAATATCCTCAAAGCTACAACAAGTAAACAAAAAGCACATTTTACTTATATGCTATTTTTTTAAGTTTCTCTAAACCAGATTTGGGAGGCAGCCACAGAGAATGCAGAGAACACAACTCTTGCACTCAGAGACCTTTGAGTGTTAGTCTGTGTATGGAGAAACATCTCATAGGACTGGTGCAGCTATGCCTGAAATAGATCCGCATGCAGCTCTGGGAAATTCCATTAGAAACAGGGCAATAAATTGGAACATGTTCAGAAAAAACAAGGCCACCAATTCAGCCAGCCAAAAAGATCAACTTGCGATGGAAAAGGTTCCAAGCGCTCGTGCTTATCTCTGTGTGTACAGCAGTGAATGACAGTGAATGAGAACTTCATTGGAGTCAAGCACAGGATTCACTAATCTGGGAGAGGATGGGACTTCATCTGACAAATTCACCGGATCATTTATTAAAAATAAAAGATAAAATAAATCATACCACTGGAATTGAGATAGCATAAGTTCAGACTGAAAACAAAATATATCAGTAGATAAAACGAATGGAAGTACTTCACACTGGATAGCACAATTTAGGACACACATAATTTCATCTGTTTAATACAGAGCATCGATCTGTCTGGGCCTTGTTTTGGAAACAGAGAAACTTCTAATATACTTCAAACAAGATATTTCCAAAAACTTTTCTTCACGTGTAAAAATCTTCCTAAATAAGTCACTACATTGCAGACACTGGACTAGAGAGACAGTAGCAGCACAGTGGTGCTTTGTGCTACTTGCACATGCACATGATTAGGCAGGCAATGGATAACAAGCTACAGAAATAAAGGAACTCATCTTATGCTCCTCCCCTCTGGGGAAAAGATAAACCCCAGAAGGAGATAAAGCTGAACAAGTAAACAGCTTGAGACAGGCAATAATAAAACTTGACATCCCATTAATGGCAACAGAGGCTGGATCTGTTGAGAGACTGACCAAATGTTTTGCTGCAGAAAACAGCCTAGTGTCTTCAACATTTTCTTTATAATAATGATGAATGCCTATCATTCAAAATAAAACCAATCACAGTCACTAATGAAGTCTCATTTTAAAACTTACTGCTGACTTTTATTGTAACACTTATTTCAGAACATTATTACACTAGGATATAACAGCCACCTTCTCTTCAATCACCAAGCTCAAAAGTCATCTTCGAAGCTGGCTCCCAAGTTCTCACCATGCAGTTGGTTACAGCATCAGGTACAGCCTGTCAGCTCTCAGGGCTTGGGGGGGGGGGGAGTCTGGAAGAGCCAAAATGCCCAGCACACTCCACAGCAGCTCTGTGTAAAAGCTCCATGCACACCAGACTGCACTTGTCCAAAGCACTTTGTTAGCTCACGTAGTCTTGAAGGCTATCTCAATATTTTCTTTGTTAATAAGAATTCCTGACCACGTCTTGCATAGGTTGTAAAACCTGCTATGATACTTTGATTTCATGACTGACCAAACCCTCCATTTGCAGGGTAGAGTGAAAACAGCAGTGATCTGTCATAAAAAAAAAAATAAATAAAAAAAATCACAGAATCATAGGAGTTTGAAGGGACCTCTGGAAATCATTCAGTCTGAACCACCATTAAAGCAGGTTCCCTCACAGCAGATTGCAAAGGAAAGCATCCAGGTGGATTTTAAATACCTCCAGAGAAGAAGACTGCACAGTCTCTCTGGACAGCCTGTTCCAGCACTCTGTCACTCTTACAATAAAGGAGATTTTTCTCACGTTCAGGTGGAAGTTCCTGTATTCCAGTTTGTGCCCACTGCCTCTTGTCCTGTTGATGGGCACCACCAAAAAGAGTCTGGCCCCATCCACTTGACTCCCACCCTTTAGATATTTATAAGCAGTGGTAAGATTCACCTTAGCCATTTCTTGTCCAGGCTGAACAGCCTCAGGGCTCTCAGCCTTTTCTCATAAGATGCTCTAGGCTCCTCATCATCCCTGTGGCCTTCCACCAGACTCTCTCTAGAAATTCCTTGTCTTTCTTGAACTGAGGAGCCCAGAGCCAGACAGGGCACTCCAGATGTCGCCTCACTAGGGCAGAGGAGAGGGGGAGGATCACTTCCCTCGACCTGCTGGCCACACTCTTGTTACTGCACCCCAGGATCCCATTGTCCTTCTTATCCACAAAAGCGTACTGCTGGCTCACAGCCATCCCACTGTCTACCATTACGTACACAGCTCCTTCTCTGCACAGCTCCTTTCCAGCAGGTCAGCCCCCAACTTGTTCTGATGCATACAGTTATTCCTCTCCAGACACAGGACTTTGGGCTTGCCCTCGTTGATCCTCCTCAGGTTCTGCTCCGCTGAATGGCAGCACAGCCTTCCGATGTGTCAGCCTCTCCTCCCAGCATCACATCATCAGCAAAGTGCACTCTTATCTTCTCATCCAGGTAACAAACGAAGCCGAAGTTAAATGAGACCAGCCCCAGCACTGACCCCTGGAGAACACCAATGGCCTCCAACCACTCTGTGATGCTGATCACAGCCCTCCGAGCTCTGCCAGGCAGCCACTCCTCAGTCCACCTCACTGTCTGCTCTCTCCCTGCATCCCCTAAGCTCACCTATGAGAACGCTGTGGGAGACTGCCCTTAACAAATTCGTTATAGCCATAATTACTCCAAAACATAAGCACGAAAGCAAAAACGGCCTCCTTCAGATATCCCAAGCTTTTCCAGCTTCGCGAGCTCGCAAGAGCGACGAGGAAACGGCTGGAGAAGGGCTGCGGGGCAGAGAGGCCGCCGTCCTCCCGCAGCCGCGCCCGCAGCAGCAGCAGCAGCTCACCACCCTTACAGGCAGAAGGTCCCGCTGCTCCGCGTTCAGCCTCAGCCCGCAGCCTGGCGGCAGGCCCCGCTCCCAGCCGCCCCTCACGGGCTGCCCGAAGCCCCCGCGCCCTTGTGGCCTCACCTGGCGATGACGGCACGAGGTCCGGGTCAGAGCGTGGCGATGCGAAGCGGCGGCTGCGGCGCTTCCGGACAGCGAGCGGCCGCCGCCCAACCGGTACACAGGAAGGAAAGAACGGGCGAGACCATCCCCGCCGGGGCGGAGAGGGCCCGCGAGGCTCGTCGCTTCAAAGCGGCGCGGCACAGCGCGAAGGGATCTCATTGTGCTCTCCCGCTCGGCCTCTAGCCGCTCTCACTGCGGTCCTTTGAAGTTCGACAGCCCTTTCTCTATCCTCTCAACCCCCCCACGTTGAGCGCAGTCTTGGTGCGGCGCGGTGCGGTCACCGCATTCCAGTGCGCGGGGGGCGGAGGCAGAGCAGCGCCTGCCCTTGTAAGGCAACGGCGGGAGTTTCCTGCCGGCGGGGCGGGCCGCCATGTCCCTACAGCGCTCCGCCGCGCCCTGCGGCCCCTCCTGCGGGAGGTAGGCGAGGTGCCTGCCTCGTGGGCGGTGCGGAGCTCGGATGTTCTTGCTTCCTGACGAAAAAATCAATGTTCTCAGCCGAATACCCGGGGTGGTGTGGTACGGCTGGCAACCGGCTTACCCTGCACTTAGCAGTAGCACGTGTATAAAGATATAGGGGTACCTGTGGTCTATATCTAAAGTGTGTGGGTGTGAGTAGTGCTTACACCATGCAGCACTCATACTTGCGTTAAATGTTAACGTCATGAGCAATAGCTAATAGACACACCACGGAGGACTTCAGACTGTAGCCTGCCTTACCAGAACCATATTTGCTTCATTGCCGTTGGCCTTTCACAAATCTTAATGAGAAAATGCATGCAATCTTTAATTTCAAGTACAGTGCAATTTAGAGAGTCACCAGATCTCAAACATCTTTAAGAAATGCAGACGGCAACAGTATTGACTCAAGGAGGGCAATTGTTTTCACAAATACTGATTAACCAGTTATAAACAAATACATTATTTGTAAAATTCTCAACAGCTCTCATCTGAACTTCTTTAGATTGCATAGAAGCTGCATAAAAAGTTATAGGAGGTCTTACTGCTCCCTATAGTGACCTGAAATGAGGTTGCAGCGAGGACTTTTCTCCTGTGTGATTAGTGATAGGGGGAGAAGTGATGACCTCCAGTGGTGCCAGGGGAGATTCAAGTTGGATGTTAGGAAAAATTTCTTTTCAGAAAGAGTGGTCAGGAAATGGCACAGGCTGCCCAGGAGGTAGTGGATTTGCTGTCCCTGGAGGTGTTCAAGAAATGTGTGGATGAAGCACTGAGGGGCATGGTTAGTGGGCAATATTGGTGGTAGGAGGACAGTTGGACAAGATGATCTTAGTGATCACTTCCAACCATAATGGTTCTGTGCCTCTAAGGTTGTATGAGTTCCATTTTACAGAAACAAGTGAGAAAGGCAGCTAGTGCTGCATAAAGGCTAAAGCTGCAAGTGGGAAGGTAAAAAGTCTTTCATTAAGGTTGGTAGTTCAGGGTCCCAAATCCACTTCAGTGAGATTTGGAAACTTACACATTTGCAAAAGTCCAGTGAGCTTCCAATCTTTGTACTTCAGTACTGGGTACTTCAATAACATCAAAACCTACCTAATTATTTATCTGCTGCTTTCTCAGAGCCTAGAGATCCCTAGAGGGGAAAGTTTTCAAGGGCTGCTTGTAAACTTAGTCTTGAATATGTGCTAGACTTAGCTTTCTAAGTTGCTTTCACTTCTATGTCAGTGAATAATCTCACTGAGTGCAGTGTGAATGGAACAACTGTAGTGGACAATCAGCATGGGAATGCCCATGATGGTTTTGATGGACAAGGCTCTGGCTTCCTAGACTTCCTTGATCACAGCTATCATGTTTTGCGTCTTCCATATCTTTTCACACTCCAGTGTTACATGGTCTCCATTTGCTGCTTTTTTGGGAACTTCTCACACTGAATAATGCCTCACAATTCCCATCCATGGAAGTGATCTTAGTGTCAGTCCAGGTTGGCAATTACAGCCCTAAATGAATTCTATAAATTTATCAAGATGAGTTTGCAGCCAGCAGTTTTCTGGCCCTGTGGAAGTAAAGGGCCAGAATCTCTCATCTTCTTATCAGTGTGTCTTCTCCCTTGTGAGGATGCATTTTATGGGGAGAAGCATACTTTAATGAACCTCTGGCTCCGCAAATTTAAATGTTATTCAGTGAGATCCATGGCATTCAAAGAAACAAAAGCTGAGCATGGTCTTCAAGCATTTAGCATTTAGTATTTATCAGTTTATCATCTGTTTTTATCAGTTTCTCAAGTGTATTTTTCTCTGTCTAGAAACAAAACAATTACCAGATTAGTTAGTAAATAAAAAGCTGAATACAGTTGCAGCACAGGTCAGGAGAATATGTGCTTGCATGGGATTAGTTTACATAAACAGTATCATAGTTAGTCTCTTGCTACATACAAAGAAAATCACTAAAAAAACACTAGACTTTCTTACATTCTGAAAATCACCAGTGCTCAGGAAAGAAGGCATGTGTTCTGACATGGTACAGATTTCAGCAATTGATGCACATCTTGCACACTGTAGTGAAGAATATGAGGTGGTTAAGCAGTGCAGCTCCACCTGAGGCCAGGTGAGAACGTGGCCCTCCACCTCCCTGGCCTATGAACCTGAGCCTGTGGAGAAGCTTCAGGCACTGCTGCTTTCTTGATGCAAGCAGGATTGCTTTGTCCTTGTTGCCTGCTTATTTCTTGCACAACTCAGTTAGAAGTCACAGTCTTGGGGGACATCCCAACTGCCATCCCACAGCTGAAATAAAGAAACATTTTGAACATGGAAAGTGACATGAGTGCACTTGAAAACAAACGAAAGAGTAAGAGCTGCTGAGCCTGAGCTGCCATTCTTGCACAACATGAGGCCATGAATGATAGCATGAAAGATGTCAGAAGGGTTCAAAAAAGAGACTTATGCAGCCTATGACATGGAATCATAGAATCACAGAATAGCCTGGGTTGGAAGGGACCTTAAAGCCTGCCCAGTCCCACCCCGTGCCATAGGCAGGGCTGCCACCCAGCAGCTCAGCTGCCCAGGGCTCCATCCAACCTGGTCTTGAGCACCTCCAGGGATGGGGCACCACAGCTTACATGGGCAGCTGTGCCAGCATCTCACCACCCTCTGAATAAGAAAATTCCACCTAACATCTAATCTCAGTCTCTCCTCTTTTATGTCATAAAACTGTTCCACTTTGTTCTATCACTACCAAATCATGTAAAAAGTTGGTCTCTCTCCTACAACGTCAGCATCCTATGTCTGTGTTTGTCTGGGTCTATGTCTACCTATATCCTTAGTCCTCTGATCTTGCTGAAAAGCAAGTAACTGCAAAATAGTGGTTAAAAATGCAGCCTATTTATGTTATGATGTCTAACATCAGATCTTATATTTATCTTTCTTGTGTTTTTTTCTCCATTGAGTTCTATCTTCATTCAACCATGCAGCCTTCGTACCACCATGATCAACATTTTTAGTTTGAGCGACTCTGCTTGTTTCTTTCCAACCTCACAAAGGCATCTCATTCTCACTTTCTTCCCTTGCGTTACACATGAACGAGGTTTGTCTTTCTGTCTGGGGACAAGGCCTGGTTCTGTTGCTGAGCCTAATGCGTCAAGCGATGTCCTGAGAACTGCAAGTAACTGAAGGAGGAGGTGGATGTGTGTTTTACTTCAAGCAGCTGCCTGCTACTTTTCTGCTCCTTGCCTAGCCCAGGACGGAAAGACCACAGCAAACGCAGCACCGTGCGCACACCGAACACCTGGCGGCAGAGAACCTGGTGCTGGCAGTCTGCCTCTCTGCAGGGCTCCGGCCGATACCGGCTGCCGCCACCAAGGGGAGCCCCGGCGTTGGTCAGGAGGCCGGGAGGCTGGAACTGCTGGAACTGCTGGAACGCACACGGGAAGGGACACGGTGAAATGGAATTAGTCCACGTTAGGCTAAATTGTATTGCGGTGCAGGGCTGGAGCACCTCTGCTACGAGGAGAGGTTGAGGCAGCTGGGCTTGTTCAGCCTGGAGAAGAGAAGGCTCTTTGCAATGTTCAAGTACATAAAGGAAGCCTATAAACAGAAGAGACTGACGACTTTTTGCATGGTCTAATAGCGATAGGACGAGGGGGAATTGATATAAACTAAAAGAAGGGAAACTTTGTTTAAATATGCTGGACGGTTGGACGGGATGATCTTGGAGGTCTTTTCCAACCTTGGTGATTCTATGATTCTAAATATTAGGAAGAAATTCTTCACACAGAGGGCAGTGAGGTGCTGGCACAGCTGCCCAGAGAAGCTGTGGTGCCCCATCACTGGAGGGCTCAGGGCCAGGTTGGATGGGGCCCTGGGCAGCTGAGCTGCTGGGGGGCAGCCCTGCAGGGGGTTGAGGCTGGGTGGGCTTCTGGGTCTGTCCAACCCAAACCATAATCTGGTTCTATGATTCTATTGAAGTAAGTGGGAAAGATCCTATGTGGACTCCTGGAAATGATGCTTAGAATGCTTCTGAGTTCTTCACATGTCTGAAACAACCATTTTTTTCCCCATAAATTCCTCAAAATGATAATCTACCTTATTGTAGTAGGGCCTCCTTGGTCTGCTTCAGTGCTGTTAACAAATTTTTAGTAAAAACAGCTAGTGTCTCCAAGCTCTGGATGTCTCAGAAGCTTCTCTGAGAACTCAGTTTTTATAACACTGTGTGAAGCATGGCATCGCATTTTCATCTGTAATGAAACATTAAGCAACATCTCTGGTTTCAGTAAGGGCTGGGTGAGTCAGTACATTTTGATTTTATGAACTGCTCAGTATTTTCTCTGGGATGGATTTTATGATATTTCAAACAAATACAGCAGCAACATCGTGGCAATCAACAACACTTCTGTTAATTATATTTTATTCTTGTTTAACAAAATTAATCTAGTTGTTTTCTGGAGGGAAGTGCAATGTGTCAGAGCTGGCCTACAACTCAAATGAGGTTTGCAAATCTTCCTGTGAGTCTGGGTTGAATTTAGAGCTGGCCAGAAGGAAATTTTGAATAAATCTGGGTTGAATAAAATGCCCAAGTGCTTGGAAAGTATATGAAAACAAATAGTCTAGAGTAAGAAAAAAAAAAAGAAAAAAAAAAAAAAACAAAA